GCGAGGACAATAGTGGCGAGCTACAACATGAACCTAGCTTAGTGCAACCATTCGAAGTAGACCGTACAGCGGATAAAGTGATGGTGTTCTGTAGGAGATGAGTGGAAGTGCCACTTGCAGATTCTGAGAAAAGTCGGCTTTGCGTGAGTGTAAAAGTTTGTAGCTTGTTTGAATTTATAAGTTAATGTACCACAATCTTTAATTTTGACATCAATCAAATCGTAGTCACGTGACCCATCACTCGCTCCCGCATAATTGCTAACCCGAACTAGTTGACTGACTAATCGAGAGATTCAGTCCGGCAACAAGCGACCGAGTGCGAGAGAGTGAGAGAGAAACAGAAACTGTTCTCTGGCCTTATGATGGGTCGATAGCCGTCCGACGTTCTATTTGATTGCATTGACCTGGGCCGCCTGGGTCCAGTATAACGCTGATGGAGCTGTCAACCCACGGGACGGACGCGCACGCACGCTTGCAAGCACGTGCGTACCACAGGGACGAACGCGTTTGTTTTGCGTGTTTGTGCAGCAAGCAGTTTAATTTTGTGTGTGCGCGCGCTCGGATGCACTCTGGTCACCGAATATTTTGGGGTACGCGCGCGTCTGTGCTAGTGTGTGTATCTTTGTATTTATGTCTACTCGGATGGATGAATGGTTGGCCTTAAGAGGACTGGCGTAGTCAGTTTGAGGTCACGTCGCCAGGCCACCACTATGCTGTACTCTGCGCGGTCGCTGCTTCTCTCGCTTAAAGGCTAGCAGCCATTGACCCGAGGTCTGTCTGTCGCCTGATCAGTCTGTCTGTCCACTCTCGATCCGAGGATTCGTCACCACAAACGCATTGGTCTGTCCGTACCCACTCGTTTGCGCCTTGCGCGATGTAGCGGGCCACGCCAGCTGCAGCTGCGCTGTATATGCATCTGGCTCGTCATACAAACACGCACGCATTCATTGCCCGTCCCATCTCGCATGTCCCTCGACCTTGTGCTGCTACTACTACTACTACTGTTGTTGTTGTGCTCGTTCAGCTATCATGTGATTTGTCTAGCACATTCACTCACCCACACGACTACGACAACCACTACTTCTATCACTTANTACGACAACCACAACTTCTATCACTTAGCTCTGCTATTCAGTAACCCTTGTGACGCTTCCTCTTTTTTAGTCTGGCGTGCGCCTGCCCATTCACACCATAATGCCCAGAGCAACTAACGAACTATCAGTCTATCCTGCGGTTCACATTTATAGTAATCAAATGCATGCATCCACGATCAGGCGGTTAGAGCGGTCCGGACGCAGTCAGACCAGCCAGTTGACTAGTTCTCGTTACTGGTGACACATCACTACCTGACAGCGAATTTACACTGGGTTATACTAATGCCAGTCTATATATGTGCATGGTCGTGTGTGCGCACGCCATCCAGGCGCTCTTCCCGATCGCACGTACACACTCCATTCACGCCGCACAAGTGTGTATGCTGGTTGTACGGGTGAAGAAGTGTGGAACGAGTTTCTCTGTCGTGTTCAAACCGACGCACTGTTCTCTCCTCTCATTAGGTACAAACTGGTTGACTAAGGAAGCCAACAGTCACGGTGTAAAATACGAAAACCCGACTGACAAACAGACACTCGAGGCTTCGCGACGCTCTGTATGTACATCCGACTGTACTCTCGTCCTTCTGTGCTGTCGTGACTGGTATACAGTTTCACGGCATATTCCGACCGTAACTTATAGATGCATTTGTATTCACGAGCTTTGGTCTTGACTGGCTGTGATGTAAATAACTCATCAGCGAGATGTATGTCTTAATCTCATTTAAATCAATAACCTTTGGAATGCTTTCCTGTCCCGGCCGCTATCGAATAGCAGTAAGACATCAGATAGTTAATGACTGTTTAATTTGAGTGTTCGTGTATCGGTGCACTCACGTACCACCTTTCATTTCAGTGTATCCATTGTCTTATGTTGAGAGTTTCCCTTATGTTTGTATC